TTCCCTACAAATTATAATCAAATTGCCGATTGCCAATCAAATTTGAAACCAAAGCACGAACAAAAATAAGGTTTGCACGTCAGTCAGTTGGTGCTCTTAATGGCACAATTTTTGTGAAAGGGATAATTCTCCCCCAAAAACATCGGTTGGCAAACATTCCATTAGCATTAACGACGACGCCTAGGAAGGTTTTTTCATTAGTTTAGCAAATTTTCGAGGTTTGACGTAAAAAATACCTTGCATTTAAAACACAGCTGTTGCATGACATATTTTGGTGCTTACCTCTGAAAAAATATATTGAAACTCCAGATAGTCTGTAGACACTTCGAAGTTATGTCTTATTATAAAAACCGTCGTAATGCCCCAACTTTTTTTAAAGCATCTGTTAATTGGTGCAAATCTGAAAATTGCGTATACAGCAGAATTTAATTGAACCACAAACTTAGCGAGTGCTTATCAGCTACGGTCCTTCGCTGCATAACATGAATAAGTTATGAGAGAATACAAAAATGGAATTTGTACAGAAAGATCGATGCAGACAGCCAGGTCATAGAAAATGACCGCGAAGGCCAATCAATAATGTAAGCAAGTCAAAACACTATGGCAAGCAAAAGTGGTCAAATGGTTGGACAGGGAGCCGGATGTTACCACGGCAAAGTTAGCTTCACCAAGTGCTTCAACATTGGATGTGAAGGTATAAAAGGACTGAACCGTAAAATCTATCACTTTGACACCTAGATAATTATAAGTAAAGGATTTAAGCTCTTACGTTCCAAGCATTCTAGGCAATATGCTGTGTGTTTGGCCTGCCTGACTAAAAAAACTAAGACAATTTGAGAAGAAGGATAGATAAAATGCTCTCCAAAATGTTACTAAAAAGCCATTGTTAGCTTGTTCATTGCACATAAGCAGGAGTTTAGTGTTTATTTATTACTTTCCTTGACAGTAGACCACTCAGTAGCACAGGTTGGTTTTTTCCTGTTAATATCACTCCTTTTGAAGGAACGAAGTGGTGGCCAAATATAACGTGCCATTTGGGTTGTGTTGTTAACTTTTTAATTAATTAATCTATGCCAGTAGTAACGGTTCACTTAACTTAGCCCTGTTAAGTAAACGAAATGAGACATTCCATATTTTTAGATGGATCGCAATGAATAAGGATGAACTGGGCCGTTAACTAATGACCAAAACGCTGCATGCTTATTCGAAATCCAACTGAGTTTACCATTCACTTAGGATCATCTTTAATTTCTTCTTATGATGACAAAATTTGAACGTAAACCAAGGTTATTTAAGCCTAAAAATATTCTCCAAGCAGTTACAAAAAAATGTCTGCTGCCTTTATAAGTACACAGTCGTCGTTTATGTGTTAGACTACAGGAATTTGTTTCTGTATAAAAGTGATATCATGGGCGTAAAACTGATACGTGCATTTACGGTATGATTTCCTTTTTAATAGTCTCATAACACGCCCATGATCATTAATACCAATTTATTTAACGTCCACCCATGTACTACTGTATAAGAATATTTAGGCCTTTACTGAAAGGAACGCAAAAATATGTGAATTGCCTTACCAAAAGGAACGCAGAAAGTTTAACTGTATTTTTGGATTTGGACACTGTTCTTAGAAGTTTTAGTGCATCCTTCGTAATTTAGTATTGCCCTCTCCTTTGAGGGTCTACACTGGAGGTTAATTCGGATTTTATTTAAGAACTTTATCATACGGCAGGTTTCTGCAGACCGTTTGGGTATAAGGCACCACATCCCACGCATATGGAACAGGGAGCCGAGTGCTTCAAACTTTATTTTGAAGCCCTTTCCTTATATTTACCAAAATACCTTGTCGAAAAATCGCAGTCCTGCCAGCTGACATACCCATAAAAAAAGTTTTTCCAACAATACCGAAGATTCTATAGGGTCGCCTGGAATCTTAATTATATATGTCTTTCGGATAAAAATGTGAATTGCTTTTATATCATACACCTTAAAAGAATTCTGTAACTATTAAATCCATATTTGTCAAACATGTCAAACATTCCTTCTAATTTGTTTAAAAATACTGCTTATTTTTCAAGGTTCATAGTAGGAAAACTGTTTTATGATAGACTCTTACACTATGTTGCCGATTAGATTAAAAAATGATTAGACACATTAAATGCTTTATTGCAGCACTTACATATCACCTGTGTCAGTCCTACATGAGGGGATTTCTATGCAATCAATTACAAAATAAACAGAATATGATTGCCTCACGTTAACTAATATAAAGAGTATAGAAAACGATTATTCCTGTTTAATCTAATTAACTTGTGCTGGGAAATTTTTCCCCACAATTTGCCATCGATTTTCCAGCCATTAATTTAGGAATGTACTGTATGTAGTCGTTACTCCCAAGTCTTGCTACTTCTGTGGGAACTAGAAGACCGCACAAACAGTTTTATGCAATAGTCCATCTTAAACGTATAAGAATTTGCTTCAAACAATAAAATTAAATTAACCAATCCGAAATAGAGAGCAAATTAATGAGGTTTGCAACCCGTAGCAAATCATTTCTAGTTGCTTAAATTCTTAAATTTCATGGTTTTCATAAGCAATTTTTTGTTTTATGATGACAAGGGCTTCCTATTTTTGAACCAAGTTTGAATTCAAGGAGCTTGGATCGTAGCAGCGCAAGAGGATAAGATATGAGCAAAGACGTTCAAATGAAGTTATGCACACCGGTTTAAAATGCAAGAAGAACAATAAGTAACGCATCAAGTCTCCTAAAATTCAGGATAAGAAAACATAGGAAAACTTTTTTAAGTAACTGGTTGATATGCTTGCAAAATGTGTGCGATTTAACATGTGCAATGACAGACTAAAGGAAGAAAATATCAAGGTCATTTTTCGTCTTTCTGCGCTGATACTTGTCTGACAAAATACGATTAAAATGCCTTCAGGTTCAACTTAAGCTCATCTGCAGACGTACATGTAAAAATATGAAACATTTGTTCAAGCTTTTACACGCTCCGTTTATACCAAAAACAAGCTTATTTTCTTGTTCCTGTGCATTTTATCCTCGTTGTCCAGTGGCTTGGTGGAAGGAGGTGAGTTAAAGTACACTACTTCTCATTTCGGTCAATAAACAGAAACACTAAACGGATGAATAATAGCCTCTTTAGATTTAAAAACTAGGTTTTTATGTATAAATTGTCGTCTACACATGAAATTTCTAAGGGCGTCAAGAGAGTTTCGAAGATGGCTCTGAGAATTTCAATTTTTTATTCATGTTTTTTGTAAAATGCCTCGGGGGCTCTATATTGAGCTTTAACAAGTATTTGCCGAATGTGATCGCTAAGTGTCCTGTACCTTATATATCACAGCAACCTCTACCATGAAGAATTTGGTGTATGGAATTAAGTTATGTTTCTTCATCCTACGTAAAACGCAGTGGTAACATAGGTTCACTTTGTGAAGGTTTTTCTACTTCGAGAGAGCATTTATAATTTTTGTTATTTCGGAGTATAGGAAAGTTACTTATCGCGAAGTTATCTATTTTGGCTATTTCAAAATAATAGTTATTACACTATTCGTTAACATGAATGTAGGTGTGTAATCGCTAGGTACTAAATACTCTACGTATAAGGCCAAATCATTTACAAACCACCTGCCGTATTCGTAAAGCGTATGACCGAAAACATATCGTCGCGGATATCAGAAGAAGAAGAAGAAGACGCGGCCACTGGAACAAGAGCTTTATTTTCCTGACATTTTGGATTCAGTCGGCAATCCTTAATCATAGGTAATTGTAGCATAATCATAGTCACGCGTAGATAGGAGTCGCATCTTATTCTGAACTGCCTCCTGGAACTCGCATATTTACGTGTATTAGCATTCTCGTTGGGCGTGATGCGCTCCGATTGGTTCGACGGTGGGAAAAGTTTGCCCTTGGGGGGTCTTCTGCTAATGTGCAGATCCGATTCTTATCCAGGTGTCTCAACAATAATGTACAGACCTCAGGTTAATACAGAGTTGGCGAGACGCAAAGAATTTCAGTACGGACCTCTATCTGCACATGACTCAGACTATGCTATTCTTACCTATGATTAAGGATTCCCAACGTAATCCAAAACGTCAGGAAAAGAAAGCTCTCGTTCACGTGGCCGTGTCTCTCGCATATTCATGTATATTGGCATTGAGGATATTTCACGTCAATATACTTAAATTATACTAACCGCAACGTAATAGGACTAAGAGCTACAAAACGGCTTATATGCCAAGCCTATAGATCATTTTATGTCACCAAATTCCCGAAAGCATTGTTTAATTTTAAATGCAACAGAAGCATCAAACGCAGCTTGACACCGGCCTAAAGCTTTGTTTAAATAAATTAAGAAAAATGCTAGTTTTATCATAGATTTACATTCATATCCGTGGCTAAGCAAGACCTTACGTCCTTTTGGTATTTAAATATTCTCATTGAGAGAAAAGTGCCCGAACTTCTTTACTGTGATTTGACTGCGAAAATAAAATACAAAGCAAGCTTTTCAATTCTTCCTATATTCTTGTGCTCTCTTTTTGCGTTATTTTAATAAGTACAACTTGGTCCCTTTTTGAATTTCTTTTGATACTGTGCAAATCTATGCCTTGTCTTGTCCGTGGAAAGTTCGAATTCTTAGACATAATATCTAAGCTAGGCATATTCCTTTTAATAAACCTTAGAATATATTAGAGGTTTATTTGCTGCGCCAAATTAACCAAATGCTTCATGAAAATAAATATCCACAACTCACTACAAAGCTCAATTGTACGGTTTTTGTAGCGACGTTTCATCTATTTTGCGATTAATGGTTCAAATAAACCCGATTTTACAAAACTTTGAATGTGTGTTTTCTTTGCGAAACTCGCAAGTACAAGATATTATTATTTTATCTACTTATTAGCTATGTAGTATTCTATAATTTCAGCTATTGGTACTATTATTTTGAGATTTTCAAACGAAAATACAGTATATGGTATCACATAAGTTTCAACTGTCTTACCTTATTATGTGGAAGGAGAAGGCTGATATAAAATGGAAGAATTGCAACAAGGTCGATTAAACTCATTACTGAGCGAAAAAATATCCATCTGTTCGGTGCGGAATACAAGCGAGCACAGTATTCGACAGTAAATATCAGCACACAGGTTGTATCTATACAGAAGAATGCCCACGAGTATTCTTCACCGCACGATTTTTTCAAAGCATCAGGTGTTCTTGAGGGACAAGGAATGGTTTCAATGATGTTTGCAAGAACAGAGACTGCAATGAAAAATCCCGTAACATAATACAATACTAATGATGCCGTGGAGTCATCAGGATTCTCAAAGGAGGCCCAAAGTTTTTGTCGAAAATATAAAGGTTTTGCTGCCCTTTGATCTTTTGGTCCTTGAGCTTCAATGAGACGCTCCGTATGTTCACGTCGACAGTCTTGGTAATTTTCGTAACAGCATTCGCCCATCAAATCCGTAGATATTCGGAAAAAAATAAGTTCCTTTTCGTAGGCCAAAAAGCATTCACTCCGGGGAAAGTGTAGGAATCCATGGCGGTAATATTCAACAATATAACGAAAAATTCCGGGATCCCGGTCAAAATAATATTCTTGTGTCTCTTCATCATAGAAATATTCACGTTCACATGAACCCAGCAAAGTGTTAGGAAACCGTTCCACACACGATTTGTATATTTCGTATTTTATTCCCGACACATTGATAACCATCTTTTCGTCATGATATGGCGTAACTCCATGAGAATCCATGGCGTTAGGCATTTTGGGAAGCGGAGATTGCGAAAGGGGAATCCAACCCATTGCGGTTGCCCGAATAAGGGGAAACCAAACGGATATTTGAGAGTTGTCTTGTACATTTTGCATAGTTTCTCAGCCTCACAAAATAAGTGTGATATTATATTGCTGATGAAAACGCATAAACCATAAAGTACGTTAAATTTCTTCTAATATTTAAAATATTGGCGGACTAAACAACGACCTTGGTTTTGATGTCGTAGTTTGACCAAACGACAACATAAAGGTATTCATTACTTACGGTTTGGGAAACTGTAGACATTTTTTCTATTATATATGCTGTGCAAAAACTTATATCATCTGGGCTCTAACTAAAACGAAATATTTTACATATATTGATCGAGTTTCTAATTAGAGGGCAGACATTTTAAAGCATATAATGTGTACTGGAATTTTTCGTAAAATACTTCACAAAGAAAAGGCCACATCGAAGAGGGACACTGAGCTCCACAGCTGGAACTCTCCATTCTGTGTGTGGCGGGTTTAGGGAACTGTGTTTCTGTCGATTGTACATAAAGGAGATATTGGGGTCGAATCTCTGCATTCGTGCCCATTGATTTTGAGCGCTAATACTGGGATTACTGGCTAATACTGGGAAAGTGGTGCTGACCGTCATATTCGTAGGAAGTGGTGGACAAGATAGAGCATTTGTGTTGCGGTGGTGTGTGTTGGGACGATACAGCGCTTCGAAGTCAAATTGCTTAGGCAGTTCACGTCATCTGGCGACCTAAACGACAGCACCTTTAAAATTCCGAAGCCATTTAAGTAACTGATGATGGGTACAAACGACGAAATTATTTGCAAGAATAAGCTATCGGAATATTTTTACAAAAGTGACTAGAGCTAGCCCAAGGTAGGTAACTTCCATTTGGCAGAAGTTACAACATTGTGGTGGATCGTGAGAGCACTCACCTGCAATTTCCGGAACACATGACTGAGCTTGTTCAAAAAGTGACTGACTGATTGACTATAACCAATTATGTCGTCTACATAGACAAAGAAAACCGGGGTGATAGGTCTCGAAGAACAAATTTCATCAACGTCTGATAAGTAGCAGTGGCGTTCGCGAGGCCATTAAAAGGCTGGTAGGGAAAACACTCTCTTCTGGCAGACATATATCCGCTAATAACTGTGAAGTATCGACCAATGCGTCCATAGTGCATGACCATGAACCAATTGTTTAATGCGGTTCTATTCCGCTGCCGGTAACCGGTGCAAAGCGTCAGGTTGTTGTCTGCTTTCTTGATGAGAGTGTCGGTTTGCCGCTCGGACAGCTGTGGGATTCTATAATACCCTTAGAGTAGGCCTGAAAATACGCTGTTGAGTTTTGTCTGAGGTTGCTGGTACTGTGGTGGGCGGTACCGGTGTTAATGTTTTGTTCAACCATTCTGGTCGACCCGAACACTTATCATGTCCAGGTACAAACTTTGGGTATAGCAATAAAGTGATTTTAGGACAGAATAATGGACCATGGTGGTTTCCTTAGGAGTCAGAAGGTCATTGATGGATGTAAATTCAGTCGGTTGGGTAGCGTTGGACTCATCGTGGTCAACATTGATAATGGGTAACACTGATCTACAATGTAGAAGATGCATAGGTTTTTGGGGTCAATGATGAAATGCTGTGCGCGGATAAATGCTAACCCTACCAGTACAAAGTAGCGATGACTAAATACACTTGCGTATGAAGGGAGTATGAAAGGAAAAACATTTTTGATCTTAACCTGGAGTGGATGTCACCAGTGTGGAGGAGTATGTTCGCGAGAGTTCTATCGGGAGTGGCACTGATTGTCCGCGGGGTATCTGTTAGTTTTTACGGTGGAAATGGATCGCTATCATACAAATGGTATCTAACCCTTACGCCCGGTCTGCTAACACTGTAGTTTCGAATCACTGTTTGTTCTTGAAGCACTACCATCAGCAGGTCAAATTCCAAGTTGTAGGTAAAAATCAGAAAGCAATTATGTGAAGGATTTATTGTGCGCAGAAACTTGAACTGCTGTCTCAGGCAACGGAAGACCACTGGTGTATCTATGGTTAGTGTTGAATGTGTCCAGTCATGCCTGAGAACGGGACTGTCTGTTTGTGAGCAAGAAAGGGAGAGAATGGCAGCAGCTGCTCTTATGTGGTTGTGGAGTTATTTCAAATAGCTTAGGATTGATTATTGCATCCACGAGGGAGTGTCGCGCATAGAGGCCTATGCTGCGTTGGCCAAAGAGTTGCGTGTTCAGGTGGCCCTGCAACAGCCGTGACGATTTGCACGCGCGTGTTTGCGCACTTGAAAGCAGATCGAGTGCCTTCAAGTCTGCGAATCGGAAACAGCTGCCTCTGAAATCGCATGAGTTTGAGGCAGCGGGCACTGAATAAAGAAATAGGACACCATTGTTGGCTATTCACCACCTCAATATATGTAGTCCTTTGACCTTTTCAATGGACGGCGAAGAAGAGATTCGTGGTCGGGTGTAGTAAGTTGGACAGGAAAGTTGGAGAAGACACCGTGGAGAATTCCATGTGTGGTAGCAAGCCCGGAATTTCTCACTTCTCCATACATCGCTCTGACTTTGGGGGAGGGGCTGGATGCAGGGGTAAGTGAAACGACGTTTTGCCGTTTGGTCTAGAAGTCCCAAATGACACGATGCTTGATGTTTTGTTGGCAAGTCCGCCAGTTAGCGCTCACCTTGACCCCATCAGTCAGAAAAATTATCGCGAGTCTCCATCCTAAGGGTCGTAGGGACACAGGAGCAGTTAAAGACGACTTAGTAAGGGATTTGCTTAGGGCGGCAGTGAGCAGGTAGATGCAAGGGGAGCAAATGTCCGGGGTTGACCAAGTATGGGGCATCTTTAAAATAAACAGCCAGGGTAAAACGTATGTGCAGCCCAGGCAAATGCAATGGACGGGCAAGAAGAAAACAATCTTAAACCAAGAATAGAACAATGAGAGAAAAATAAAATGAAATGCTGGCACCAACTATGTGACGACCTGCAAGGACCTAATAAATATGTACCACATGGATCAATACATGTGTAGTGCCTGGCTCCACATGAAGCGCACTTGTGAACGCTTGTTGTGATAAGCTCAAGTGGAAGTGCACTTTGTGAGCGCCTGCTGCATCCGGCTTCTGGAACAGCCAATCACATGTTGACTCACACAGACCTCAATGTGGTATGTGCCGCTAGGCATAACTTCGGATTCTCCCCCACCAGGGAGCGGCCGCAGGCAGCGTTGTCAGCGCTGTTGACGACCCCGCGCTGTCACAATCGGGCGCCTGCCAATCCGAGTCAACTCTCCTGCTATCTACTCTTCAATCCTTCTACAGAATTAACCTTTCCTACGACTATGGACTTCCCATGATTTCATTCTTCTCCTAAGGATCCGAGCCTGGGAGGTCGCAGCCGTTATGGTTAACCTTATTAACCTCGACACCCTTCGATGCATGTGCGACGCACATCACAATGTAGAATAAGAAATCGTCAAATAATAAGATAGTATAACGATGGCGGAATAATAAAGGCGTGTTGAGTGCAAAACTTATCTAAAATGGGGGTGATGATAAAAATGATTATATTAAGAAGGGGTTCAAAGAGAAAACAGCCAGCTGCGAAAAGATAAATAACAAATGCTGGTTGCTTAGTACTACCTGGGGGAGAGAAATCTGGTGGCAAAGAATAGGGAACCAACTCGCGAGCAGAGTATACCTACGGAGAATGAAAGAGCGACATTCTTGAAGATCATGAGTTATCCAGAGCCTTCGATACCTACAATCGGCTCACGATACATCATGCAATTTGTCAAGTTCTTAAGTGAAGTTGAACAAATGGGCATAATATTCGCTCAGCGAGTCAGTCCTTCATGATTTACATTCTGGTGCATCCTTTATGGTATGGTTAAGCTGTTAATCTACAGTTTGTGGAATGCGCCCAACTTACGATAAAAACATGATCAGCACCGGTGATTCGTTCGAAAAGAGGTTTAATGAGATTAATATCGCATCCAGGATTTACGCCCGTTCTCATTACGCCTGTAATCAGGTAACGACATATCGCGCCAAAGACGTAATAACCACAAGGAATGTTATATGCGAGTTTGAACATTGTGACAGACGCATCATTAATCAGTATCCTGATCAGAGTTATAAAACAGAGGATGAACGTAAGGATTCAGCGAAGGTCAAAAATCAGGCTGCGAATCAGTCAGTCAGTATATTTGAGGGAAAAATAGGCTTGCGCCTTTGAACTAC